ATTGACCCTGACTTCAGCATGGGGAATTCGTGGCATCTTCTGTACGAATGTCATGGCTCCCGGCACAGAGATCAGAACATCGACAGAGTCGAAGAAGGATTTGGCCGCGAAGGACTGCGCGGCATACTGCATGCCTTCGAATCGGGGCTTCGAGTTGAAAAATAAATATCGATGCAGCTGCTAGATCTCACAGCACTCTGCCCTTAACTCAAGGCCTGCAAGTGCCAGGGACAGCCTCTCGGACTCTGCATAGAGGAGCATCACCAGCCTAGACAGGATCGCACAACAGATGTATGCTATCCGCTGCAATCCTCAAGCTTCAGTTTCAGATCTCCGCTCTGCTTGTCTCGAGGCAGACAAGGAGCTTGGAGTACTCCTCCTGGCACGAACGCAAAAGGCAACACATCGCTGCCTAGTTGATGCCCATCTGGGGCTGCCACCATGACTGTGAAGATGCTTCAGCGCACAAGACCCGTCGAAGGAGTCGCATCACCAGATGAAGCAGGGTTTGTATGACCCACAAATATGCACTCATAGACAACCTGAACGAGCTCTACATACACTCACCGATTGGCCAAGACAATGATCTGAATCTAAACCCTGCCTCACATGATACCAACAAGATCCCATGTTGAAGTATGCGTAGCCTTCATGTCACCGGTGGTCCAAAGACGCCCAATTCTCGACCGCCTCCCCCAAAAAAAGCTTCCGAATCCGCCCCGGCAGCTCTAGGGCCTGAGCCGTGGCATTGAGAGCGCCGGCAGCTTCCGAAAGCGACTTCTGAAGTCGTCGAGCCTGCAGGCGGAAAGGCTAATGTATAGAGGAGCCTACAGAATCAGCAATACTGTTTTGGGGGGTTCCTTTTTCATAATATATGATATAATATACCCTAAAGCCCTTTAAAACTCTGTGAGGATGACTCGCTCAAAGCGAAGCTAGAAATTTATGTGAGGTACAAGACATCCATAGCTATGCTCTCCTCCGATTTCTGTCCGCACACCTTGTTCCGATTATTAAGGCCCCTATATTGAATAGGGTTTGAGGTCTGGGTTTTTCGGTGCCGAAACAGCTGCAACGGCTGCAAATATATTGAGTAATAAAGTGTTGAGTAATAAATCCGAAACCAAAACCTGTAATCCTGAACCCTAAACTCTGCGGCCCTCATCGTTGAACCCGTACCCGCTGTGATCTACTGCGAAGAGGGTCCTGTGACTGTCCTGTGATTCGCCGTCCGTGGATGTGTCTGCAGGGTCATTGCCCAAGCCACTGAGGTGTGCAGCGAGCTGGAAGCTTGCGAATGCTAAAATGGGAACTGCTGCAGTAGTTCACGCCCCACTTCAACACCACACTCGTTGAATTTAGCCAATTCGTATCGCCGCGTGTGCTGTTCCGGTAGCATCTCCCGTGCTTGTGAGAAAGCGCCCGCCCAGGCTTCCATGGCGGACAATGTCGGACTGAGGGCGAAATTTCAATAGGCAGAGCGGCTTCAAAGAAGCCTCTGGGCCAAGGCGCTTCGCCCGAATGTGTCCATCGAAGACCAGGTTTCAACACAACACGCCTGCCATATAGCATGACGCGAGTGCCATTTAAACGCGAAAGGCACTGAACGCTGATAGAAGCCACGGTGTTTGTTGTTCTGCTGTTGCCCCTGTTTGCTCTCCACCCCGGGTGTCCAGAGTGCTTTTTTTTTGTTGCGCCCCGTCACACACCACAACCTGAATTTGGCGGGGCCGGAGCCCAAAGAAACACCACCTAGGGTGTGTGTTTTGTTGCGCCCTGTTGGGCTCCACAACCTTTCGGCGCGGCCAGAGCAAACAACCGGTGGGCGTGCTTTTTTTTAGCTGTTGCCCCTCGCACCCCGTCTCACTGCTACTCACTCAGAGACACGGCAGGGCAAGAGCAAAAAAAAAAAAACTACTTTCACAGATTCCACGCTGAACTCAATGCTAAAAACCTGCAGGCAGTTCTATTGGTTCTTCATTGTCGCATTGGTCGCGGTGGTAGTGCCCACACAAATTGAGCGCAAAGTGTTACAGTAGAGCGGATGTTCATGCGACTACTGCGTACTGATGCTGGTACCTACGGTTCTGGCAGTCGTGCCGTTAGGCCGTGGAGTAGTTGCTCTAGTTGTCGTAGTTATAGTATGGCATAGTATGGCACTCGTACCGAGTTGTAGCGCCCTGGGGTGCTGCCCGGGTTCCGGACTTCAGAACTCAACGAATCTGCCACAGAGTGATGCCCAAATAGTCTCAGCCCGGGCGACGGCCTCAAGCATAGCATTCTCGGACTCGTTGAGAATTTGGTCCAGCCCGGCATAGATGGCCTCACGTCTCTAAGAAGTGCTCAAACGAAACCTGAAGGCCTGGAGCCGAACCCCTGAAACTCTCTCGCAACATAAATACGAGCAGAACCTGTTTTCGTTAATGGATCAATGTGGGGGAGACCTGTTGATGAATCGTGGGTCTGTCAGCCATAGGGTTTAGGGTTTAAAGGTCTGCCGATAGCTTCGCAAGCCTCTTCGCTCAACATCTCAGTTCTGCTGCTCTCCACGTCATGAGATGTATTCTGATCCTTGGGCAGTATGTCGTACTATTTTATACTATACGATACTCCACTTTGCTATGTTATGCTACATGTTATATCTATTCTGCATTTTATACAAGATTTTCTTGTATTATATTGTATCATCTTATGATATATTACATTATGTTCTGTTATCTTATGGTTTATGGGCACCGATATCATGTTACATGATACTATACTATATTATAATGTCTTTTTGCAATCCTTTATTACATATGATGATGCTGTAATATCATGTTGCATGATGTTAAGAGATACAGGCGCTGCGCCTCCTCGCCTTGCTTGGCTGTGCTGGTCACCAAGCCTCCAGGCAACAAGCGGCTAGGAGGCACTTCTTAGATGTCTTAGACTTTATCATATCACGACATATCACACCACATCGTATAACATAACACAATATAATGCAGTCAGGCAATCTGGGAGAGTCCTGGCGCCCAGGGCTTCGACGGACAAAGCAAGGAGTGCCCGAAACAAACGCACACCGAAAACACCTGCCTCCCATCGCATTGCTGACGGTCGCCGTGACCATGAGCGCGTTCTCTGACCTGCAGGTAGGTGAGCAATGTCATGTAAACGTAGTGCTGGCAGATGATGCAGGCCCCATGGCGAGCCGACCTTGTGGCAAGCACTTCAATGCGCTGGGAGGTGTCCCAGCAGCCATACATCACGAAGGCATACGCCCCTGAGCAGAGGTCAGCAAGTCGAAGTGCGGTACCGTGCCGCGGTTCATGCAGCAGCATATGTTATTTGCCCAGTGGCCGAGCGTTAATAAGAAGAGGATCATCATGAGCCACGGGAACTCGTCCTCATCGCCAGCTTCCCTTCGGCGGTATCCTGAGCTGGAACCCCTTTCTACGATGTACCACTCGAATTGTCTGCACAGTTCCCAGACCATCTTCCAGAACATGCCAGGAGCCAAGGCGGGAGGATCTGTGCGTTGAAGCAACAGGCTCATTAGCAGGCTTCGGACTCCTTCATACCCTGATGTATGCATCTGCCATGATGCGATGCACCGAGAAATCTGATGCCGCAGATCTCTTAGCGAGGCGACTGAAGGCTGAAGCCCTTCGACGAGGTCACACCCGACCGCCCTATATAATGAATAATATAGTTAATATAGAATACAGAATACAGAATATAGAATATAGAATATATAAAATATGATATATAATATATAATACAGAATGACTTCAACCCCCAGTCCCTGTCGCTCTCGGATGTACGGTGCAAGTCCACATTTTTACTGCACGTCCTATCCACTGCCGCTACGCCCGCCGGCAACTTGTTTTACACGCCTCTTTCATCTGTAGCCAGAAGCCATTTAAATATTCATAGCTGCAGGCAGGTATCGATCAATTTCTGACGCGCTCCTCTCCCTCTCCTTGAATGTCCCGTACTTCATATGGAAGACCTGCACAGGAAGAGTGCATAAATAGTCAATTTGACAGCTGTGTGAAATGGCCGACACCTTCATTAATCCCTTCAACCTACTATCAAACGGTGGAGTGGACCCACCCACCCCCCTACCCGCAGTACAACTCGCAAAGTTTTTTTATCATGAAGGGGTATCTTTTTCTCTACTGTTACTTTTGAAGGATCTTGTTCCTGCTCTGGCTCTTGCTCCCATGCGGCTTTTGCTCTTCATTACTCTTGCTCTTGCTTTCACTCTTGTTCCTACTCTTGCTCTTGCTCTTGCTCTTGCTCTTACTCCTGCTCTTGCTCTTGCTCTTGCTCTTGCTTTTGCTCTTGCTGTTACTCCTGCTCTTGCTCTTGCTCTTGCTTTTGCTCTTGCTCTTACTCCTGGTTTTGCTCCCGCTCTTGCTCTTACTCCTGCTCTTGCTTTTACTGCTGATCCTGCTTTTGCTCTTGCTTTTGCTCTTGCTTTTGCTCCTGTGCCTGCTTTTGCTCTTACTCTTGCTCTGGCTCCTGCCTTTGCTCTTGCTTTTGCTCTTGCCTGTGATCTTACTCCTGCTCTTGGTTTTGTTCCTGCTTCTGCTCTTACTCCTACTCCCGCTCTTGTTTTTGTTTTGCTCTTACTCCTGCTCTTGCTCTTGTTGTTACATACTGTTCCTCTTGCTTTTGCTCGTTCTCCTGCTCTTGATCCTCCTCCTGCTCTGGCTCCGGACCCCCTAATGCAAGTTGGGATTTAAAGGGTCGGGATGATTTCGGGAGGATTGGCCCCAACGTGTTTTGATTATCAGGAGGTGTTTAAAGCATCGGGGAAGCGATTTCGCGATTGACACAAACACCTTAATTACGGCGTTCACTGCACAAGTCTACTGTTGTATTGCATGGGCATCCAGCTCGACGGACCTGCACAATGGGTTCTGTCCGCAGCACATGCGGGTCCACCGCGCCTGAATAAGAACGTGGAACGCCAAGCACAAAGTGCTGCACCCCAAGAACCGCTGGGGCTGCTAGAACGTGTGGCGCTGTGAGCCAATGCCGGCCGTCAGCAACATGAAACCCTTCACACCATCGTGCCACGTGACGCCAGCTGCAAGAAACAAAGAGAGAGCCTGTAAGCTTTTTGCCACTTCACAGCCTGCCTTCCATGCTCTGTCCTGGAGTTCTGCCATGAGTGGGACAGCCCGTCGCCGCTGCTGCCCCGAAGCGCATGCATTGAGTGCAGTGCTGAAGGTAATTACATCTCCCTCCATGCCCCTGTGCAGCAAGGAAGACAACAAGCTTAAAGCTTGCTGCCAAAAGCCATGGCTCGTGCATGCCGCCATTGCGGCATTGAAGGTGAGCACCGTGCTCTGCAAGCCAGCCGAAGTCAACTCCGACAGGAAGTACAGAGCTTGCTGCCACTGCTCACCCTTGGCACAGGCGAACAGAACCACGTTGTAGGTGATCACCTCAGACAAGGCCCAACATGTGACGGACTTCAGCCATCAATGTCCCCAGGACACGAAACCATCGACTCTCTCTTGGAGTCTGGGGCTCTAGGGTTTTAGGGTTTACGAAAAAGGGCTTTAGGGTTTTATCTTTTCAGCGCAGAGTGGCATTGGCCTCCAAGCCTGAACGGTAGAAGTCGCTGAGCAGGTGCAGAGCCCAGGTCCACTCGCCACCCTTCTCACAGGCACTCATCGCCTTCTGCGGAGGGGCGGGGGGGGGGGTTAAAGTTTGAGGTTTAGGGTTCCTAAAGGCAGCACTGGCCGCTAGCTTCCAGCGCTCCCTCAGAACTGCTCTTCACCTTGGCTTTTTGCGCTTATGAAAGCCACAGCCGAGGGGCAGAGCTGTAGGTGATCACGTTGCCCTGGATGCTTCTGTGTGGGATCTCAGCCAGCAATGCAAGAGCCATCTGCCACTCGTGGCCTTTTTCACAGGCCTGAGCACAGACCAGACGGTTGCTTAGAGACAGAAACTCTGAGCACAGCAACTCCGAACCCCAAACTCTAAGTTAGAAAGTCGCATAGTCCAAAACCCTCAACCCCGACACCCCACACCTTCAAAGCGCGGAAGTGTTTGGGCAAGCTGCACTGATGGCTGCGCTGTACGTGATCACATCTGCCTGGAGCTCCTTCTCCGTCATCTTCCCCAGGAGATGAAGGGCCATGGGCCATTGATCTGCATCCTTGCACAAGCTTATGGCGGTATTGTAGGTCACCACAGTACTCTGCAGCTCCTGAGCTTCCAGTTTCTCAAGCAAGCTCAAGGCAATCGCCCACTCGCCGCCTTCTTCACAGGCCCTCATGGCCGCATTGTAGGTGATTGCGTCGGCCTGCAGTTTCTGTTGAGAGAGCTCGGTAAAGAGTGCCAGAGTGCGCTGCCACTCGCCCCCAGTACCAAGTGCACTCATGGTCGAATTGAAGGTGATGATGTTTGAGCTGATGCGCTCTTGGTACATTTTCGAGAAGAACAGCAAAGCTAAAGACCATTGCCCGCCTTTCTCACATGCCGCAATGGCCGAGGAGTAGGCGATGACGTCTCCTTGCATGCGAGCGCTCTCAAGCCTGGTGAAGAAATCCAAGGCCAGGTGCCACTGGTCACCCTTCTCAAAGGCACTGATCACAGAAGTGAAAGTGATCAGGGTTGGTTGAAGCTGGCTGCCTTCAAGCTCGACGAGGACCTGAAGTGCCTGAGGCCACTGCAGCCCTTTCTCACAGGCACTGATTGCGGAGTTGTAGGTGATTACGTCCCCCTCAATAGTCTTGGCCGTCAGATCTGAGAACAGCAACAATGCAGCCGTCCACTCAGAGGCCTTCTCACAAGCCGCCATGGCACTGCTGTGAGTGATGGCATCCCCTTGCAATCCCTCTGCTTCCAAATTCACCAAGAGACGAACAGCATGCCCCCACTGCTCCACTCTCTTGCATGCAGAGATGGCGGCACCGAAACTAAAGATGTCCGGATGCAGACGCCATGCAGGCAAACTTCCCAGCACAGCCAGGGCAAGGGCCCAGTGCTGTGCTTTGCCACATGCGTTGATCAACGAATTCACCGACTTCAAAGGCCCTGGGGCCTCGGCTCCAAAACCCAAATGCAACCAAGGGCCGTTTAGGGTTTAGGGGTTTGGGGTTTAGGGTTCATGGTTCAGGGCTTAGGGTTCAGGGTTTGGGGTTTCTTTAAAGTAAACGCCCTAAACGCCCCTAAACTCCAAACCCTCAAGGGGGCTTAGGGTTTAGGGTTTCGGGCTTGGGCACACGCCAGCTTCGCTGGTCTCCAGCTATCCAGCACAACATGCTCTGTGACAACGTAAACTCCAACGCAATGCTGGAACATCATGTGGTACAAGTATGTAGGTATACATGCAGGTTGCAACACAGACATAATTGTTAGAATGATAGGGTAAAAAGATATTGGCGAAAAAACGGAGCCTGCTCCGAAGCTTTGCTTTACGTCTACCAACCTCTTGTTTGCATTACACAAACCCTAAACCCCAAGCCCAAAACCCCCTAAACCCTAAGCCCAAAACCCCCTAAACCCTAAGCCCAAAACCCCAAACCCAATGCCCAAAACCCCAAACCCTAAGCCCAAAACCCTAAACCCTAAGCCCAAAACCCTGAGCCCTGAAACAAAGAGTACCAGCTTAGATCTGACAGGCAGCAGAGGCATCCCCTAGGAGGCGAGATGCATCCTGCCAGGTTTGGCGCGCCTCGACGCAGGTTTCGGTGAGGATTAGGTTTTTTTTTAAAGGGCCTTTTTCCACTGTTATGCGGAGAGCCCAAAAGGGCTTTAGGTTTAGGGCTTAGGGTTGGTTTTGTTGGCATCACTTAACGAGGAGGCGGAGATGAGCATGTAAGGGATTCTAACGGGTCTGCTGCGCCGGGCCGACACTTCGACTAGCTTGGACAGCGTGCTCCATGCCTGCAGCCTCCTAAACCCTAAAACCCTAAATCCTAAACCCTATAAACCCCAAACCCTGAAACCCTAAACCCTAAGCCTTAAACCCTAAACCTCCTCCCCGTAAACTCCCGACAGAATTGAGCCTTGGGGCCTGGCAATAGGCCGGAATTCATCAGTGTACTCTATAAAGAAAAGGAGCCGGACTTGCGCCGCTGGCGTAGGGCGTAAGGGAAACGAGACTTTGAGGCACTCCGCTACTGCATGAGAGTCTCTCTTCGGCCGGGGATATGTTTGTACAAACAGACATGCAGGCAGGCAGGCAGGCAGGCAGGCATGCATCCATCCAATCCATCCATGCACCCAGCCATAAAGCCAGCCAGCCATCCATCCATCCAGACAGACAGACATACGCAGAAACATAATTATAGGCATACAGACATAATGTCGACATAAATACATGCATTAGCTACATGGCTACATACCTGCAAGCTGCATACATACCATCCCGATTTATAGACCACAGGGTGTGGGGATGCTTGGGGTCTCCTAGCTGCATCTCGGGCGTCAGCTCTTATTCCTTGTGCATCTCCGCGTTGCTCTGGCATCCCCGGCCTGTGTTCTGACATCATGCCGCTGGAAACCCGAAGCCCGGCCACGGCCCTGCAAGTCCAGCACATGCATGGCTTGGAGCCGCTTTGTAAGAAAGACAACCGAAGTGGCTGAGCCAAGATTCTGCCAGAAGAAGAGAGTTGCTTTCGTTCGAACAGCCTTGGCAAAGACATAATCCTCACATCGGTTGGCAGACGAACGACGGCTCTGCTCTCACCGTGAACAGCTTCATGCCAACCAGTGACAGGCGGCAGTGAAAACACACCTCCCTGAATCCTACTCGGCCCTAGTCACTACTCCGCCCAGCATCTAAGCCACAAGTTCCCTCAGATTCAAGTCATATATGTATGTATGTATGCATGCATGCATGCATGCATGCATGCATGCATGCATGCATGCATGTATGTGTGTGTGTATATATGTGTATGTATATATATATATATATACATTAGGTGTATGTGTGTATATATATATATCTCTTCTATATATGTGTATTAGAGTCAGCGTGCTCTCTTTTGGTCTGGCGGTCGGAAGCCAACCTGCGCACCGCGCACTGCACGAGCCCCTGCAGTGCTCACCCGTCTTACGGCTACTTTGATCTGGGATCCCTGAAAAGCCTAGGCGCCTGATGACGTCATAAGAACCAAAGACCCGAATTTAGAGATCGTGGCCCAGAAGTCGCTACACAAGTGCTACTCCCCAGCTGCAATGCCCATCACGCCGCCCTCTGCATCAAGGCAGAATCACTGGCATGAGGACCTGACCGCACAATGGGCAAGTTCTGACAATGCCCACGGTTGGGAAGCAGCTATGAACGCAGATGGTTATCGACACAAGCCACACGGTCACATGACACATGAATGAGAATTGCACGGGATGCCAGCTTTGGCGATGCAAGCAAGCCCAAAAGCTCACAACTGCAACAGCTCAGAAGCCAGAAGCACGCAGGTCACTTTCACAAAGGGTGTGCGCCCAGACTGAAAGCTCTAGGAGCACGGATCTCTGCGCAGAAACTGCACTGTGGTAGCTTTGCCAAGTGCCTGTCGGCAAAATCACTTCAAAACCCCTTAGGCTTGCTCGACATTCGTCGAGCCCTTTCAGAAGGGCTGCCAAATTACCAGTTGAGGGCCGACGCTTACAGGACTAGCCCGGAGACTGGTCTGGCAGCTCGGGAGTCAAAGCAGATACTAGGTCTGGGTCGCCGGATCTCGCAACGACCTGGCTCCAAAAGACAGCATGCACAGCTACAGTGTCACGGAGAAGGGGTGGAGAACGAAGAAATGTTCGCAAATGGTGGCGAGCAACATCTTTCAGCTCGTCGGACACTGTCACATCCGCGCAGTCCGAAGTCGTGGCAATTCCTTCAGGAATTCGCAGATCCGAGACAATGCGAAGTGTAACGCATGCTCAACCAGAGAAGAGCATAACGGCTCAACCCTGTGATCTCATACTTCATTGCACCATAGTCTACGTGAGAGCTCCTGCAGCAGGACCGTTCGACACTGCGGCAACCATGTTGGTGATATCAGCAGCACAAAGGGCCTGAAACGTTGGCGTGCAAATTCTCAGGAGCAGACGGCCGCTGCTTGGCGAGACTCCGTACTCATAATGCACCTGTAAATTCCCAAAATATACCCGTGATCTGAGCAGAATATACCCACACGCAACACACCCACAATGCCTCGAGACCGAAACGAACCAAACCTTCCCCCAGCCTTCCGGCTTCCGCCTACGGAACAGTCGGTGATGGCCAAGGCAGTGAACCGAGAGATCCACATGAAGGTCGATATGACATTCCTCGGATGTCCGAGGCTTCGTCGGAGCTTTGAACAGGGTGTTTTTTTTTTTGGGGGGGGGGCCTTTTTCTGTCTTGCTAAGAAGTCGGAGAGCCTAGAAAGAGGCAGGCTGTTAAGGCACACCTCAGCTGCATCTCAGATGCACGAACACTCAGACTCACTGGCCATCCATGCCCTCTAACTCTTGAATAGGGCTTTATGTCTCTATGCTATCTGCTGCTGCTGCTGCTGCTGCTGCCGCTGCTGCTGCTGCTGCTGCTGCTATGTGCTGCGGCTGTACCCAAAAAAATTAAGAACATGCGACAGTCAGTAGGAGCACAGTGGCGAATACGGCAGCAATGCTCGAACTTCATTGAATCACATGGGAATGTCAAGATTCGCATTTGAGCCAGACTGAATGGCTTCCGAAAAGTCAACAATGAACTGTTCCCTGCTCCCTGTTCCCTACTGATTGACATGTGGCGTAATCACATGCATTCTCGCACCAAACTCTCAGATCACTTCCGTGGAAGCCAAGTGTCATTATGTCCATGGCGCAGGCCCTAGGCTGTGGGCAGGATGCCGCCGCCACACGCACCTGGCAAAGGGAAGAACCGGTCGCACACCCTTCACAAAGTCGGTGCGTTGGGCCTGCAGCAATGCCCGGACAATGAACGAGAGCATGTTGGTCACGTCCATGACCTTGAGGCCAATAATCAGATTTTGCTGCAAGGACGTGTACAGTGAAAACTTGTGTAGATGAACACGAAGTTCAGCCCGGCTGCGCACTGAGTGATGTCAAATGCACGATTGCGGCTCAGCGTTCGGTTGTGCTTGATAGCAACGATCAGCCCCTTAGCGCAGAAGCATCTCACTGGATCTCACTGGAGCCCAAATGCACAAAAACGCCAGTTACACCTTAAATTCTACATCAACCGCATGCAGGACTCGGCAGTCGGGGCAGCTGCTGCTGGAATGAACTGCGCCCAGTCGTGAGTGACTCGCGGGCGATTGGTAATGAGGTCCAGGTTGCTGCGCAGGCCTTCAGTTCTTCTTTGAGCCGACAGAAAGCCAGAGATTCGACTGTCGTCTCAGAGCTCTGAGGTTGGGCAAAATACCCAGCAATCCCCAACACCTACTGTGCTCTGTCTCATCACATCATCAGTAGCCAGCAGCACCAACAATAACAACAACAACAACAACTACTACTACTACTACTACAACTACAACTACAACTACAACTACAACTACAACTACTACTACTACTACTACTACTAATACCACCACCACCACAACCACCACCACCACCCCCGCCGCCACCACCACCACCAACACCACCACCACCACCACCACCACCACCACGGCGACGACGACTACTACTACTACTAGCACAACAAGAACGATAGCAAAAACAAAAGCAAAAGCAGCAACAACGACAGAAGCAAACTAACCAAAACCGGAAGCTTAATCGGGAGAAATATCGACATGACAATCTTCGTTTTTCAGCAGCAACCCTATCATCTTCGCCGTCACCATCACCACCATCATGATCGTCGCCATGATCATCATCATCATCATCATCGTCATCATCGTCATCGTCATCATCATTGCGTTTTATCATGGCCCTCACCATCATCACCAGTGCATGCAGTTTGGAAAGGCAGTCTCTGAAAAGCGTTGGACGGGGCAGCACGAAGCTTTTCTGTCGAAAGCACCATCTGATGTTAAGTTGTGGACTTGCCGCAACGCGGCAAGCATGGACTTCCATAGAGGGCTGGCAATCCAGAATGAACCAAAGACGTGCCCGGCTAAAAGCCATCATGAAGGAGCTGCTGATGGTTTTCATAACAGATGCAGGCGAGCAGCCGGGTTTGCAATCATCCTTTACCGCGGCGCCGGCCTCTTTAGATGACGGAAAGAGAGATGTAAGCTTTCAAGGGTCGATGGGGCGAAGACGGCATAAAGCATCACTGAAAATACTTCATGTCTTACCAGGGAAAGTCTGAAATCTGCTTGGGGTCGATACGCGCATCCAGATGTCAAGATGATGAAAAGTGTAGCTTCAAGGCCTGATTTCTTGCTTAGCACTGAGCAACTGGTGATCCACTGGACCCGCAATCTCATTGAACTCTTGGATGTTCCTTACTACCCGCCAATGTCTGCAGCAGCGTGGCAGAAGCGATCTCACCAAAGTTGGCCATCAGGGCAAGGAAGTCGCCAACACAAATGGCGTCCGAGTTCACCGCCTCTCATGTTTTGGAGGGGGGGTGCAGATTAGAAGCGGCATTCCCTGCCTCAATATTTGTGAACCGTCGGCTGCCCGCGACTGCACTGCAAATTGGGACACTTTTTGTCTGGCTCTGCTGCTGCAGAAGGCACGGACAGCTCATGGAGTTGATGCATTTCGGTGGAAGCTTTCCTAAGGGTCGCTAGTCGTGCGAAAACTTAGCGTCCACATGATGTCAGGAACGTGTCATAGCACAACACCGGAGAGACTCCTACATTGCCCTGGCTGATAGTGGAACAGGTCTTAGACTATGATCGCTTAGCATGATCAGACAAGACATGGGGGGTTTCCGAAAATAGGACACCCTAATGTAGTGCTCTAAATGGTGGGATCCTTATTCAATTCTAAGGACCCCAAAATAAGGTACCCTAATTTTCGGAAAGTCCCACATGGCTTCAGGTCCTGCCTGGGCACAAGCATTCGCCGCAAAGGAGAGGTAGGTGGCGACCCTGGGAGCTGAAGGTCTTTGAAGCATTGGATTAAGGCTTGTAGGGGTTAGGGTTTAGGGTTTAGAGCTTAAGGTTTAGGGCTTCGCTTGGATAAGGGTGCATTGCACGCATGATGGTCATCCTGGAAGACTCTATCCACATCAGAATCTCCGGAATTGAGATCATGATGGTTGCACATACTGGTGCAGGGTATCCGTCAGTGACGATGATGCTGATCGGCCCATGTAATGCCATGTTGGAAATCAACACCCGACCACTGGACGTGTCAATTTCTGCAACATTTTTGACTTCATGGACGGATGCACGAGAACAGAAGTGCTCAAAGATCCGATCGAGAATCCAAGTGATGGATGTCACGAAGCCAGCCACACTGGCAGCGCAGCCACTGGGGGAGAAATCGTAACACCTGAGTGGAGTCTTGATGCTCTGGTAGTCGATGGCCTTCGCGTGGATCAGTCGAGGACGAGTGGGAGACCGGCGAGAACGGCATTGTCTACAGGATCGCTCAGCTAAGCGAATGTAGGTGAAGTCCGACCAGCTCAATGAACTTGAGATTCTCTATGCTGACTTGAAACGAAGCGCCTGCCTTGTAAAGAAAGACGATGGCTTGACCCAGGTACGCTGTTGCCTGAATGGTGTCGATGACACATTCAGTCCTCACCCATCCCAACTCCTCCGGTCAGAGTGCAGCGAGCCGAGGGTCAGTTTGAGGTGCTGATTACCTGTTACTTCTTCAGGTTAGCTCCTTCCAAAAGTGCGAATGATCCCAAGAGCCAATCAATCATCAAGGAAAAAACTCAAATTTCGAATCATCCTCTTGGCAATGAGTTCATGCCCTCCCCTGGTGCTTGTAGCCATGCCGGCACTGGACTCTCGCCACCAGCCCAGAGGTGATGCCACGGATGCTCATCATGACCGTCATCATCAAAAAAAACATCACCCTCATCATCGCCACCATCACCGTCATCATCGCCATCATCAGCACCATTACCCACCAGCATCATCCTCATCATCAAAACCAACATCGATTCCGGCAACAATAACGGCAGTACAGTCGTCATGATCACCATCACGGGCGCCGATCTATACGGATATACGGATTGCCCTCCTTCCCCGACTGCGAGTGAGGGGGGTTAGAAGCAGGTCCTGTGGCCGGGATGAATAGAAGAGGTCGCCAAGGTTCCTCAGCCCTCGAGGAGGTCTCAAGCCTCGCAGCATGGGAGGGCGAAGTCCGCTGCCAGATTTCCCACAAGAAATGCAGTAAACTAGACCGGACGACTTGGAGCGGCGGATTTATGGCTCTAGGTGTGGGATTGAAGGCACTGGGATGCTTGCAGAAGCTCTAGTCATGGATTGCAGCCTGCCACTACAGTGTATCCATAGAATGATCATGGGGTAGTTAGTAGCAAGGTTGACAGGGCAAAATGCACGTAATTTCGTGGGCCATGGGGGGGTGCCTTGCTAATCTGTGTTTATTCAGACACGAAAACACCTCGCAGTAGGGCCATGTTGAAGAGAAGCCGAAACCCTGGCCGCGACGCCTACATCGGCTATGGCGGAGGCAATCACAACAATAAAAATAACAATAACAATAACAATACTTATACTAGCAATAGTATGAATGGTAAGAATAATCGTTATCGTCGTCGTCATCATCCTCACTGTAGTTGCCGAAGAGTCTTTTGTCTTGACAGCCACGGGAAGCCGGGAAGCCCCCAAACCCATCAGCCGAGGGGCTCTGCGCCTCGCGAACAATTTGGTCCATGCCAGGAATCCTTGGATCGATGGTCAGTGCTTCGAGTTGCTGTATGATAGCCCATACTATGCTAACTATAGTATAGTATGTTATGCTCAGCATGTGTATATGTGTGTATATGTATATTATACTAATATATAATAATATAATATATATATATATGTATATATCCTTAGCTCCCCGAATGGGGGTTTCTTGTCCATTCTGTAAAGCATTTAGGGGCCAAACAGGGTAGCCAGTAGCCATAGCCTTCGCCTGGCATTCTACTGCGTCGCCTCAACCCAATTGAAAGCATACGATTCTCTTATCTGCACCTGATCTGTAGCTGCAAGGTTTTTGGCGACTGGGGTGCAGCGTAACACGGGGGACGTCCCTAATTTTCATAGAAGTCGGCTTGGAACCGGGCATGAACGAAAGATCGAAGATGGTGCATGTCAGGGGTTCGTCATCGCCCATCTCTCAATCTCAACTTGGGCTAGGGTAGCACAGTCCAATCAAGACCTGGCATCTCGACTCGGGAGGCTTTTGCACAGTGTGCCGTAACGAGATGCCAGGCAGCTCTTCCCAATTCGGGAACTCTGCTTCATTGATGGCAGTCTTTGTGCCGATACCTCAAAGCCAAATTGCATCATCAGATGATTGCTGCACACCAAGAGTAGCCGCCAAACTTTTCCTATGCTTCGATCACAAACCGGGAACGACGCCTGCAGCCAAGGATCTCGCAACTATGGGAGAACTGAAAGCGCTCTTCGCTTGCAGCGCCCCAACGAAAAGCAGCGCCGTTGCAGCAGCAGCAGCAGCCCACCGCGAACCTCGGTACTGCAATTGACTTGAAAGTGCAGAGTTAAGACCGATCCAAATTCTATCCAAGACGTGAAAATTGATGCATCCGGGCGTCGCTGAACCCACTCTCTCCTTCATGCGCACCCTGCATACATGTGTAAATAACATGCCTCGGTTCCGCGCATGGCAAGCTTTCTCACACACTGGCGGCTCCTCGTCTGCCAAGTTCACCTCAACATGGCCTTCCCCAGCCATGTCTCGAATCCTCATGAGGCAATCACAAAATGTTAGAAGGCTCGTGCAGATTCTTCCGGGCGGCGTCAAACACCAACTGTCCTACAGCGATCTACAATGATACTGGGAAACCTTTTGAGGTCTATCCGTCGAAAGACTGGGTAATAGCAAGAGTGCTCTACTGTTGGTTCTGATTGCTCAAGTGGGTTCCATCTATGTACCACCGTGATCACGAGGCAATTGCGAGACTCATCGGTTATCTGATGACTTACCCTTTCATGCTTGCAGGCTGTTGAGAAGTAGAAGCCGTTCGGATCCGGGCCCCCGGAACTCAGAGCCGTGCGCGGCTCTGCCACAGGTCCTCTTACAGGGCTTTGCCGCCCCCAGGGTCAAGTCGTCTACGTAACCCGTATCTTGAGGCACATGCTGCAGCTGAGCCACGGCACCCATTGCGTGGCTTGCTGCGAAGACGATCGCATGCTTGAGCACTGCAGCTGAGCATGAATGGCATCATGGTGCCGTCCAGCGGCGCTACCTGCTTTTAACATCTGCAACCAGAAACGCCCGAAGCAAGAAAGGATCAACCACGGAGCTGCACAAGGTTAGAAGGCCCGCAAGATGAGCTGTCATCTCCTTCCTATACAAATCCCAAAGCCCTGAACAGTTACTTGTGCTCCCATCGCAGCCAGCATCCTAAAGCTGCGCAAAAGGAGAGACTCAGAGAGGCCCATAGTATAGGGCCTGCGAGATGATCCGGGCATTCCGAAGGCCTTGTCATGCGCCAGCTTCTGCAGTCTCAACGCACCTGTCATAGCCAAAGGGGTTCCTTGTAGATGGATGTCAAAACTCTACGAGTGCGATGCTTCACACGAGCCCCGGCCGACGCGCACGAAGGAAGAGAGATCCCCAAACGAATCTCTCGAGCATTTCATATAGCAATAATGGTAAGACAAACGATAATTCGAGTATCAAAAATACTATCAATGCTAACAATATTCACAATATTCATGATATTACTGTGAGTAGAACGAGTAAGAATCCAATGGCCTGAAGAAACTCTTGAGACCTGGCCCAGGCTGTGCTGCCGGGACCTTCGGAGCAGATGGGCCGTGCAAGGGTGCGAGTAAACGGCCGCTGAGTGACACAGAAACCTACTCATAGTGGGACCTCTTTGAGGGCTTTAGTAGGGTTTAGGGCTTAGGGCTTCTACTCACTGATGATTTTCGATGGATTTTATGCTAGGCTTCAGGTAGGGGAGCCAACCTCGCGCTGGACACCAGGAATGCGGTTGATGGGTGGTCTGTTGGACACATGCAGTATCACTTTTAGAAGCCTTTAGTTACGTTAGGGTTTGGGGCTTAAGGGGGTATCACTTTGATGAACATTTAGAGTCAAATATAAAGACTCTGGCATTCAACGACGAGGCAAACCCCGATGGGGACGAACTGGACCTGTCGACAAAGCAGGCCCCGTCCGAGCCCCAAGCAGGCTTCTTGTCTGCAGCGCGCCGGACCGCCTCAAGCCGTGCTTTCTCGGAGGAACATCATGAAATTGACACCGTGGGTCCGTCAGTCCTCACACGAATCTGGCACAAAGAGCGTACCAGGCTCTGCCACATGAAGCGGCACCTTGCTGGTCTTCTCCCCCGATGTCGCCATCTGAACAGGGCTTTTTCGTGCAGCGGCATAGACTGAAGCCCCCTTTGATAGAAGTCTCAGGCTCCAAAGCGCCCTGCCTTGCGCTTCTTGGAATCGCCATCGCCAGCCTCTCAGTCTGTGGGCTTGGGGACTCTCAAAATGCGGGGGCTCCAGGGGCCCAAGAGCTTTTTTATTGCGTTAAAAGGGGGAGTGGTTATTGCAGGATTAAAAGTACACCCGGCTCAGGCTTGCTGGCGCAGACGAGACCCTGCCTTCCCTTTGACTTCGGGCGTCTTCTCTTGGAGCGACTCTGACTCCTTCCAGAAAGGACTCTCAAAGGAACTTGATTCAAGACTCTAAGTCCAATAACCTTCGGAACAGAAAAAGCTACAAAAAACATCAGAAACCAATCGCCAACAAGCCTTTGCCCCCCAGGCTGCCTCTCGGTCTGCGGGCCCCTCTTCTCCCTGTGCAGGCGGGCCTGCGCAGGCCCAAGAGAAACTGAACAGAGCTGGCGCAGCGTCATGCAATCCCCATCTCAAGCCTTCCGCCGCGAAGAGCGCGCTGCCTTCGCTTCTGGTGGCGGCCTGCGTTTCAATGTGCGCATGATATATGTTTGTTGATATGCTCTGTAATGCGTGCAACTCGAGGCTCACAAACCGCAGAATCAATCGAACTTGAAAGTACCCACGACGATGTGTTTCGACGACACTTAACCAGTTGCCTGTGCTTGGCCAGTAGTCCGTGTGAAGGTCGAAGGATCAAAAGTGCCTGGAGTATGGGAGATCGCCCGATGCCGTGCAAAAACTGTCACAAGTATGTTCCACAAGGCTAGGAGTTGCGAGAGTTGCGTCGCCGACGTGTGGTTTTAGCATAGGGTTCTGCTGGAGCTGGCTAGTCGAAACTGCAACCTGGCGAGAGAGTACCCATCAGGAGCCCGGCCAGTTAACGGCTGCAAGAACTGGAGCTCCTCATTGCACGATGAAGCTTTCTCGGACATTCCCCAGCTTCCGAGGCACTGCATCAACTGACCCTAAACTTGTCTGCCTCAGAACAAGCAACTCGAATCGTCCTTCGCACCAGCTATGGCGGATTTCAGATCCTGCGGAACGAGCACAGTCGACTCAGTGGACCATGTATCCGGATCGACAAAGAGCAAAGCACAAGGGCCGACCGGGCCAGGGGGAAACAGGCAGGCAAGCGCGGGAGCCCTTTTGCTCACTCGCTGCCAGTAGCTTCTCTTGCTTCCGGGTGCGGGGCGCTGGCCTGCAAGGGAGATCTCACTTCCAGACTTAAGAGACCCCGATGTCAGCAACGAGCGAAGAGTAGGCACCCCTCTCTCGAAGCTTTAGAGCCACATGTTCAGGCGAGGGAAAGCAACTTCGAAGCTGGGAATTTCATCCGGACAGCCTCCCTCAGCTGCCGGATGCGCTCTCGCCTGGAGACAACCATGAAATGCATTGCAGAACAGTGCAGCACAGGTGCATGGTGTAGAGGTGAACCACTGTAGTATGCCTTGTTCTTCGTTCACATATCTTATGTATAGATGTGTGGCATGACCTCGTTTACGGCTTTAGCTCTACGCGAACGAGAAACTTCAAACGTGTGAATATGTGTGCATGTGCCTGGGGGGGGCGGCGGGGGCTCGCGTTTGCATGTGTACATGTGCATGCATGCATGTCTGCCTGTCTGCCCGACTGCCGCTCTATCCGTCTGTCCGCCTGTCCGTCTGTCCGTCTGCTCGTCTGTCCGTCTGTTCGTCTGTCCGTGTCCATCTGTCCGTCTGTCCGTCTATCCATCCGTCTGCCTGTGTGTCCGTCTGTTCGTCTGTCCATGTGTCCGTCTGTCCGTCTGTGCGACTGTTCGTCTGCCTGTTTGTTCGTCTGTCCGCCTGTCTGTCTCTGTCCATCTGTGCATCTGTCCGTCCGTCGGTCTGCCTGCGTGCAAGGTATATATGAACGTATTTACGTATGCAGATGCACCTTTACGTATATAAGTCTGTGTGTATGTATGTATATATATATATATTTATTTATTTATTTAGTTATTTATTTATTTGTTTATTTATTTATTTGTGTATTTATATTTATTTGTTTATTCATTTATTGATTTACATATAGATATATATATATATATGATGCCGGTGCGGCCGGCCCCCACCCCTTCCCCATGGTTCCCCCCCGCTTTGGTGTGGTGTGGTTGTGGGTTGCT